GGCCCGGCCCCGCCGGAGCTCCTGAGCCCCCGGCCCGGCCCGGCCGGAGCCCCCAAGCCAGGCACCGCACCGCCGACCGGCCCTGGAGCCCCCGGCCCGGCCCCGGAGCCCCCGGCCCGGTCCGGCCCCGCTCCGCCGGCCTGTCCCGGCCCCCAAGCCCCCGTCCCGTCCCGGCCCCTGTCCCGGCCCCCCCGATTTTCCCGGACATGTCCAGCTTTTTGGGCTTTCCCCCCGGACGGGGATTTGGAGCCCAAAAAGCCGGACATGTCCGGGAAAATCCGGACGTATGGTAACCCTACCGTAAAAGCTGAAAGTTTACCGGCAGGAACATCTGCCCAGCTTGCTGAACTAGTGGCCGTAACTCGTGCACTCGAGCTGGCAAAAGACAAACAAGTTAATATCTTTACTGACTCAAAGTATGCTTTTGGGGTATTGCATGCTCACACTAGTTTGTAAAAACAAAGAAGAATGCTAACAGCCCAAGGCTCTCCAGTTAAGCATGGGTCTCAAATTCTCCGGCTTTTAGAAGCGGTACAACTCCCCTCAGCAGTAGCAGTAGTGCATTGCAAAGCCCATCAAAAAAAAAATCAAGATGTAACCAAGGGCAATGCCAGAACAGACAAAAAAGCTAAGCGAGCTGCTACCCTGAAATCAGCAACTAAAGAAAATGCCCAAATGCATGCCCTCATCCCATCAGTGGGTGAGCTTGCAGCCCCTCAGTACTCCCATGATGACAGAAACCTGGCTGACAGTCTCGGTCTCCAGGAAAAGGAGGGATGGCTTTATTCCACAGAGGGAAAAATCCTACGGCCCAAGGGCCTAATCCGACTGGTGTTGCAGAAACTGCATCAAACCACACACGCAGGCAGAGAGGCTCTTACCCAACTCATAAATAAATATTTTCTAACCTCTAGACTTAAACCCCTAAGCATCACAAGTACAAGCTGAATGTTTAATCTGCCAAAAAAATAACCCTCGACCAGGAGTAGCAGTGCCACCAGCCACCCTAGAACCTACCCCAAGCCCAAGATTAGTGTGGCAAATAGACTTTTCTGAGTTTCCCAGGACCCAAGAGTACAAGTACCTTCTCGTCTTAGTGAATCAATTCAGCGGATGGCCTGAAGCCTTCCCATGTCGCAACAACACTGCCAAAACAGTAGCTCTTAAGTTTGTCAAAAAAATCATTCCTCGCTTCGGCCTTCCTCAGTGAATAGAATCTAATAATAGAACACACTTCACATCTCAAGTTGTTCAAAAGATATCAAGTGCTCTGCAAATCCCCTGGAAACTCCACACACGACCACAAGCCAGTGGAGTAGTGAAACGCACAAATCAGACACTCAAGCGACACCTCTCAAAGGTCTGTCAGGAGGCCTCTCTTAAGTGGCCTGATGCTTTGCCCCTTGTGTTACTTCGCATTCGTGCTCTCCCTAAGAGTAAAATAGAGCTTAGTCCCTTCAAAATTATGTTTAAAAAAGCATGGCCTATAAATAGTACCCCAGTTCTGGCAGGGGAATAAAGAGTAAAGTGTAGTTTCTTGTCTCAGTACATGTGCTCTCTGTCTGCTGTTCTTTCTTCTCTTCACAAGGAGTCAGGGCAGGGGGTTGAGGGTGTGTGAGGGGGTGCAGGAGTCAGGGCAGGGGGCTGAGGGTGTGTGAGGGGGTGCAGGAGTCGGGGCAGGGGGCTGAGGGTGTGTGAGGGGGTGCAG